CCTTTGTTGTTTGGTTTATGTTGGTTTTGCATTAGTGTTTTTGGTTGTTTGGAGGGTTGTTTTTGGGAAGGGACAGGATGGAGGGAGGGGAAAGAAGGGTATGAACAAAGAATTAATTAAGAAGCCAAGCCATAAATTTTACATAATAGAGAACACTTATTTGGTCATCTAACTCACCCTCCACTTTATGCCAGCTAATTTTAACAATCTGCTTCCATATTTTTAAAAACTTTCTACAGAAATCACAATGACAGGCTAACATTAACAATGGCAAAAGTGGAAACATATGCTGATATATGCCTGAATGTTCAACTGGCACTTCAGGAAGTAGAAGCAGTTTCTGAGGACAGGACAGTGACAGAATACACCTTTAACTGGAGGGTTTTGATTATTCAACAGGATGCTGAAATTTTCACACTGGTAAAATTTTATAACAATTGTTTCAAGGTATTCAATCATGTAAAAAACCCAACAAACTACATGGTGGAAAACTAGTGTACCTAAAATCTATTATTTTTTTTAATACACCTTCACTTCTCATAATTCTAGATTCTTCTTAAGGAAGGAAGAACTGGTACCAGACTGTTCAGTTTATGTAGTAACAGTTAAGGAATCACATTTGCTTCAATTAGACTCAGAAAAGTTCAGAAGGACATGTAGTGTTCTGTATATTGCATTCCACCAGCACTACTTATTTTTTATGCACCAAAATGCCATGTAAGAAATATTAAATTACTGTGTTTAAATAATAAATAATTAATAAAGTATATGCTAAAAAACATTCAAGGAAAGAAATCTGAAAAAAAAAAAAAAAAACACTCCGGGCAATTAATAAAACTATGAAACGGGCAAACGCTTGAATCAAGGTTAAGCCCTCAGCTACATGTAAAACTGGCAGAAGTTACTAATTAGCTTTCCTCTAAGACATAAAAAATTTAGCAAAATGTTTAAGCCTTTAATCCAATTCAGACCAGCCCAATTCTTCCAGTGAACAAATACAATCAAGAGCACTGAGTGGGAACAGAATATATGGAAAATGATGAAATTATCAGACAGTCTTTTTGAGACATGTTTCAACATCAGTCCTCCTCGCTACATTTCTCAACATGGCATAAACCCAACACAATTCAACATGGTCTGAGGGTTTTGTCTGTGCATAGACTTCTGCCAGACTAAGAACAGATGATTTTTTTTTGTTTGTTTGTGAAATACATATGAAGATCATGTCAAATTCCAGGTATTTAAAATGTGCTTAAGTAATTTACTTGTTGAAGTAAACCAAAGCAGCAAGTGTATAAGCCAGGAGATTCCATAGTAGCTTTACAGCTCTCACAGTGACTGAGAATGGCAAATCTCAGGCAGATGGGGGGACAGGAGTGCTCAGCAAATTTTTTAAGAACAGCTCAATGAAGTGATTCACATCAGTCTCCAATTGGAATCATGGGCAGCTGCTGATGACCATAAAGAGGTTGAAAGGAATTAATAAACCACTTGTCCTGCTTCCCCTCCCTGCATCATATTCAAGCTCTCCATACCTCACCTGTTGGATATCCTGAAGTTTATTAAGCACAGTGTTGAATAAAGTTTCATGTCTAGTCTTTGATATTCACATACGGATTACAAAGTTTAACTTAAGAGAACTTTATTTTAGAACAAACTTGAAAGTAACTTTAAGATTAAATGACAGGATTTATTTTTTTAGGTTAGCCTCCTAGGTATATAAGCAAGGTCAAGCGTACTCTGCATCTGCCTTGCAATTTTCATTCACAGTACATTTCCAGCATAGAGCAAATAAAATAAAGAGGAAGAATTGGGCAAAAACTTGCAGGTCTTAAAGTAAGGCTCCAGCATTCAGGTCCATACATTTAATACAGAGTCTCTTGGCTTCTATGCTTTAAATCCTTGATAGCTTGGTTCCCATAAGGTCTATGTACAGGAACAAATCAAGTATTGCAGGGAAAGGGAGGTAGGAGTGTGGAGGAGAAATGACAGAGAGAATACCTTTCTTCTCGTATCCTTCGTACTCGTTCAGCTCGTTCTAGTTTCTTTTGCTCTTCATATGCTTTTTGTTCTGTAGTGTCTCTTTGGATGCGCTCATTTAAGGCATCAAAATCTTTCGCTATGATATGTAGAAGCCAATATAAACCCTTTTTAATTGATTTATCAATTTTTTTTCCACAACCCATGATAGCTGAGCAAGGTTCCTGTGAATACAAGGAGAAGGAGGGGAAAATTATTTGTAGTTCAGAACATATTCCTTGGCTGGAAACAAGAAAACAGCCAAACAACTGCTATTTACTGTGAAGTCTGCAAAACACTGCACAGCATGGAAAATAAATTTGCATTCATGTGTACTGTAAGTGCTTTTTTGCACCAAGATACAAATCACATTGATTGGAGTAAAATATTTGCCATTACATTCTCATCAGCAAGCAAGAGAAACATGGTCTAGGCAAATCTAATGGAAGATGGGTGCAAAACCCATAGCTAAATTAGTTTGGAATACTTTATCTAGCCTGGATGCAACAGTTCAAGGAAGCAGATTAACTGGAAGGAATCAAGAGGAGCACAGTGACGAATATTAGACAAAATTGTTTATGAAAACATCGGATAAAAAACATTGAAGGGACAGGAGTGGTTCTCTTGAAACACTTCGAGGAGATATGATAATAGCCTTCAAAACATATGGCATAACTGCTAAAAGTAAAAGAATACTTTGCCCTTCCTGTTTTTTTTGTCAGGAGGGCAAGTATAATGGGCTTTAAATGGAACAAAAGAGATATGGCTTGATTCTAGTTTAGGACACAGAAAAGGACGAGATGCCCTCTTAAGATGTCTTCAGAACTATTTTCCAGAATGCTCTGGAGCACTGTATGAGTTTTTTTTAACTATTCTTTGAATTATAATTGAATAGATCTAGCTATGTATTTGAAATCAAAAAAAGGTATTTTGTCCTGTGTTCAGGACTGTGTTTATGAATGAAGACTAAAACCCACTAACTTTCCAGTGCCAACACCTAAAAACCTCTCTGTGTTACATCTTCATTTGACAAGCATTTAAATGGCACCTCAGTCAGATATGGTAAGTACAATTTACAACAGGAAAAAATAATTCTGACCTGCTATGATCCCCCAGAGTGCCAAACAAGTTTGCATTTTAATATGTTCCTACTTTCTCTAAATTGAGGTTCAAATATGAGTTTTGTTAGTTATGGAATACTACAATGCTCTCTAGCAGAACCTAATCAGGAAGAAGATGTATAGGCAAAAAAGAACTTGTTTCTCTGGGACAACTAAGATAAAACTATAGACAGCACTGGAGTAATTTTCTTCTTGGTTTTCATCAACATTATTGTTGCTGTAGTTGAGTATTAAAATATAGAAATTCAAAAATATAGAATATACAGACATATTAGTAAAGAAAAAGAGGAAGGTCATTCTCACTGACACTGTGTGACAGTGAGACAAAATACTCCTTACAGTTGCTTTAATATTTTGTGGGGAAATTTAAATATCCTGAAGAAAAATAATTAAAATAATAAGAAAAAACAAAAGGTTTTTTTTGTCATGGCCTAATTTTATTTAAACCTTGTTTCACAATGCCCCTGCTTAAATTCACCCCATGAGTCACCATAATGAAATAAATTGGGACCGTGTTTACCTTTAATGAGCCTAGTAAAGAAGTTGCCTATTTGAGTATGTAAGACTTTCAGCTCATTTCAGCTATAATTACTTTGAGCATGTAATCTAGTTTCTTTGTTGATTACACCCAGGATATAAATGGAGACCAAGAACAACATGTTACTGGAATGTGTCATAAATTAAATAATTCTAAAGTACTGGAAAAATACACTAGAATCTTTTACCTCTTTTAAATTGATAATGCTTTGAAAAAAAAAAAAAAATTCTAACAGAAGTCCCTTGAAAAAACAAACACCGAACTTGCAACTTTTACTTTTATGATTGCTACCTATGCATAGTGCAAAGTCCACTGACCGTAGAAAAGCACTCAGAAAGTCATAACATAATGAACATAGCTATGCACTGCTATAACTCAACTTTCTAGAGAAAATAATAGCAATATGAATTAGGCTATGAATTTTGAAATTCTCCCCAGGAAATTACAAGTCTTTTTAAAATTTTATACCCCAAATATCTGTTGGAAAAGTTTTATAAAATAGCCTTCTAATTTTGTTTCATAACAGCACAACTCACTAGCATTTAAAATGTTTCTTATTGCAATTAGAAAATTATTATAACAGTAAAGCCCAAAAATAGTTAACTAGCAAGCTGGTTGTTTAAAACAAAAGCTTAAAGAAAACTTCAGGGACTACTGATTTGGATAAATTATCTGAGAAAATGACCAATATTGAGTAGCTTTCATACAGATTTCTGGCATTGGCTCCTCCCTGGCCCCTCTTTTTATGATTTTATTATTTTTTTTTTTAACATGAATACTGTGAATACTACATCTAAAATGAAGTTATGCTAGTACAAATATTAACTTGTATTAAGGTCTATCACTGCTCTTTGGTAACTACTGTGCTAGGAAATAGATGCCCTCGGAATTAGACTTAAGTTCTTACTGTTTGTCAGATGGTGACTCAGACTAAATGATGGTTTGAGCTATGAACAGAAATGTGACAAACATCACATCCAAACTGTGATCCCTCCTGAATGTCAGTGTAGGCAAACTCTATTTCCTGCCTTTTTTGTTTTAAAGATGGAATACTAAACATGCCGTCCAAATACATTTTAAAACACATCAGTAACTAGTTATTCTTACATGGTTTCAGAATTGGCCAGCTTTGAGGATCCTTACTATAAAGATTTCTTCCAGCAGATCCAGAAGCAGAATGTCAAGGCAAACAGAATTGTTTGCAGAACACACATACCTACTGTATCTTTGCTGGGATTGCAAGGGTTTAGTTTCAGTTTGGCACTATGCAGGACAATCTTCTACCTCATTGGAAGCTTTACATATATATTAGAAAATGAAGCATCTTAAAATAGACTTACAATTTGACATAGACACTTGTGTTCATTGACAAGCTTTTCCAGAGATAAGGACTCGATTACATCTGCTTCTGACAGAGCTCCTTCTCTGTCCTGCTTATTTGCCAGCCTACAAAAAAAAGATCAAAACAAACACTTGGCACCCTTACACAAGAGATTCTTAGATCTCCTAAAGCTAAATTTTTGACAAAAGTAGGAAAAAGGGGAAGAATGAGCAAGTAAAGAGAAAATGGTTTGTTTCAGCATTAATTTTTAATAGTTCTTTCTACTTAATAAAAATGTTGTTCCATGAACTATTTTCAGCAGATACTAACATTAAATAATTGCTAAGGAGCTTAATAATTATTTAATAATTATTAGAATCATTGAATCATTAGGGTTGGAGAAGACCTCTAAGATTATCAAGTCCAACCATCAACTCAATACCCTCACAGTGAAGAAGTTTCTCCTTATGTCAAGGTGAAAATTACTGCGTTCTGGTTTGTGCCCATTGCCCCATGTCCTATCACTGAGCATCACTGAAAAGAGACTGGCCCTATCCTCTTGACTCTTGCCCTTTAGATATTAATAAGCATTGATTAAATCCACTCTCAGTCTTCTCCAGGTTAAACAGACCCAGATTTCTCAGCCTTTCCTTGAAAGAGATGTTCCAGTCCCCTAATCATCTTTGTAGCCCTCCACTGACTTCCCAATCCATTAGTTTCCTATCTGCCTTGAATTGGGGAGCCCCAAACTGGACATAATATTCCAGATGTGGCTTCACTAAGGCAGAGTAGAGAGGGAGGAGAATCTCCCTCAAGCTGCTGGTCACGCTTCTTAAAGCACCCCAGAATATCACTCACCTTTTTGGACACAAGAGCACACTGCTGTCTTGGGGTTAACCTGTTGTCCACCAGGACTCCCAGGTCCTTCTCTGTGGAGCTGCTTTCCAGCAGGTCAATCCCTAACCTGTACTGGTGCATGGGGTTATACCTTCCCAGTTGCAGGAACCTGCACTTGTTCTTGTTGAACTTTATTAGGTTCCCCTCCACCCAACTCTCCAGCCTGCTTATGTCTCGCTGAATGGCAGCACAGCCTTCTGGTGTGTCAGCCACTCCTCCCAGTTTTGTATCATGAGCAAACTTGCTGAGAGGACACTTTGTTCCTTCAACCAGGTCACTGATGAATATGTTGAACAAGACAGGGCCCAATACTGACCTCTGGGGAACTCCACTAGCTACAGACCTCAAACTAGACTGTGCTGCTGATCACAACTCTCTGGGCTCTGTAATTCAGCCACTTCTCAATCACCTCACTAGTTGTTCATCTTAACCCACACTTCCTGAGCTTACCTATGAGAATGTAAATGGAGACAATGTCAAAAGCCTTGCTGAACTTGAGCTAGACAGCCTCCACTGCACTCATCTATCTAGCCAGTCATGCTCATCACAGAAGGCTATCAGATCGGTCAAGCATGATTTGCCTTCAGTGGATCCATGCTGACCACTCCTGATAACCTTCCTTTCCTCCACACACTTAGAGATGACCTCCAGAATGAACTGTTCCATCACCTTTCCAGGGATGGAGGCAAGACTGACTGGTCTTTAGTTTCCTGGGTCGTCCTTCTTGCCCTTTTTGAAGGCTAGAAATGACATTGACTTTCCTCCAGTTCTTAGGCACCTCTCCCATTCTCCACGACTTTTCAAAGACAATGGAGAATGGCTTAGCAGTAATGTCAACCAGATCCTTCAGCACTCTTGGTGCATCCCACTGGGGCCCATGTATTTCTGAGTGTCCAGTTAGCCTAACTGATGTCTAACTCCACCTCCTCAACCAAGGGAGAGTCCTCCTTTCTCCAGACTTTCTCTTTTACCTCCCGGGACTGGGATTCCTGAGGGCCAACACAGCAGTACAGACTGAAGCAAAGAAGGCATTCAAGAAAGCAACAAATTCAAGAAAGCTGTGAAAAGTAATTAAAAGATTGGAAACAATTATCTCCACCTTTTTTTCTTTTCCCCCACATAACCTATCTTGGTTAAAGTCTGAAAATCTTACTGCACTGTCCCTTGGTCTCAGAAAGCATTACTCAGCAGTGCTGTCAATTCACCTAGGTCTAATTGAAGAAAATATTTCTGAATACCAAGTTTGTTGCCACAGCCCACTCCTTTCTCACCTAAAGATTAAATCACTTCACTATTTACTATGGTATTGGACTGCACATTGTACAAAGCACAGCTGAAGCACAAAGAAATGTTGGGAAGCTGCATAGCTCGGTATGAATGTGACCCTAACATCCTGTAACTTGCAGTAGCTGCTGATTTTTAACCTCTAGTATGTTAGAGATGTAAGATTAGTCTTTTTGGCCAATTAGCTTCCATTTTCTCCATAGTACTGCTGTTGCAATATTGACTGCATTAAAAAAAAGCAAAACCAAAAACACCAGTTGAGGTGCTGTATTTGGAAATGCAGCAGATTCAAGTAACTATCTCCACTTTTATGCTCTCCAAGAACTGAAGTGGTTTTGCACAGGTAACACATTTCCTACTGTACACCACGTCCCTTCTAGCCTTTAGGTCAAACTTAAAAATATTTAACTCAATTTATAGGATACTGTGATAATGGGTATTATTTTGCTGATTTTTTTTTTCCCTTTTCAACTAAATGCATTAATAGATCCATGACCTACTCTTGCTTCCTTTTCCCTTCGTGCTTTACTCTAGAAGAAAACAATCCCTGCGCTTACACTTGTGCTTCACAGGTAGGCAGTGCTCCACTTCCAGCTCACAGGGCCTCTATCTAGCCAGCTGCTCCTAAACACTTCCTGATACTGGGCAGCTCCAGCAGTGATCCGCCTCTCAGCAAGGCTGGGTTTCAAACAGGCAGAACCAGATTCCCCAAGTAGAAAGTAATCAATTTGCCTGTCTACTGCTGTTGCAGAAGTCAGCTTCTCTCTCGCACCACTGCTCCCAAAGATGAACCCTTGGACAACTACATAAGAACTAGAAGTGGAAGGCATGCAGAAAATACTTGATGGAATGTCACTCAAGACATACTACTTAGACAAACATTCAAAACAACATTTTTGAGATTATAGTGAAGCTTAGTCTCAGGAGTTGCTCTCTGAAGGATAAAACAGAAAGCCACCAGCACAGGATTAAAAGGTAAAGTTTTTTTTTATTTTATTTTACTTAACGTTTGTAAAGTTGCAAATATCAGAACAAGGCTTTGCAGTGTGGTTTAGAAATGTGCCTAAGCACTGAGACTTACAAATAATGGTTGTCTACGCTGCAAAGAATTGGCTGTTTCTCTGGGTGAATAGTCTCGGAGCTCTGCTGCTCACACACAGGAATGCTAGGTTTTGAGGCAAGTTTTATGCATAAAAATTCCTTTTTTAGGGAATATGTCAGACTTATCTTAAAGGATAGACTTTGATTTTAATCTTCCAAGTCAGTAGAACTTCATATATAGCAATATTTCATGTTTAAAAAAATGTAGGAGCCATATATGAAAACATACTTGAAAGCACAGGAGAGTGTCTGTTGGTTTATCACATTAAGTTTGCCAGGTAAGAAGCTATTATATATAAAATCATGCTTGGCTTATTTCAGTTTCATATAAAGTATATTTGGAACATTCTTAGTGTAACAAACTTACTTTATGCAAGAAATAAAGAAAAGGTAGGCACCTACTGCTTTTATATCAAGTACGATTTTTTTAAGCAACTAGAGAGCTTTTGAACTTTATTTTAAGAGTCATGGGAAACAATGTGGAAAGGGAGTGTATGTGTGCATTGGCACAAGTGACATCTACAGCTCAGTAACAGTATTTCTCTTAGAAGCCAGATGACATGCCAGAGAAAAACAAAGTCTGAATGCAAACTATGTGCATTCCTTGACCTGTTTCTAAAATGCAAACTCCTGAACAAAGAGGAAGGGGGGAAAAAACCAACCAACCAAAAACAATCCAACAAAATCAGAATTTAAGTTTACTTTACAATCCAAATGATCTGGTGAAAAAAAAAAAAAACAGTATGAAATGTATACATTTGTATCTTAGCTTCCATCAAAAATCCAACAAACATAACAGAAAGGGTTTATTTGGAAAGAGGGCATTTTCTGTGACTGTATGTGTGCATGCATGTGTTTGTTGTCTTGTTTTGCAGACTTGAAGGGTTTTTTTTAAACACTCTTACTTTCCAATGTACACATTTCTCTCCATTTATGCTGGATTCTCATACAGTAACATAACACTCAAACCTAAATACTGTAGAGGGTACACACAGGGCAGGGAGGGAATCAGTAAAAGCATCTTAGAGATGCTGGTTTTTAGGTTAAGTTTAATCAGTCAGTTAAAACAAAACCAAAATTTGGGGTCAAACCTGCATGGTGGCCATCAAAATTAACAATTTTAAACAGTTAACAACAACAATTATCATTTGTTTCATTTTGCTTAAGTGGCCTCATTTGCACCCTACATCTGAATCATAGTCCTATTTACCAAAACCATTTTTCTGACACACTCTGCTCTATCAGTTTAATCACACCTATTGATCAAATAGGCTGCATCCAAAGAGATGTTTAAGCTCATATCAAGAATATTATGTTCAGCAGTGACAATAAATGATATTGCCATGTATTTTTGTACAAGTTTTTTTTTTTTAAATTCAAAATATTAATTATTTTCTTATACTCTTTCATCTTGATATATCAAATATCAAGGCTTTAAAGTTAATTAGTCAAAGTTGCATATAAGAGTTTTTTTTATTTAAAAGCTTCCTGGAAATCCTCAAATTTATTACAGGTGAGTTCCATGGCTGTGATACATAGCAATATGGTCTGACAGAGATGAAATGGGAATGTAAAGTAGGTGAGATGTTACACAGTATAAATTTTGAGCCTGCAGTTCTACTGCCAGCAAGACAAAAATCTTGGCACTGCTTTATAGCAATACAAAGTAATTAACTAGGAGTTCAAACTATATATCCTATTAAATTGAAAGAATTTCACCTGTCTTCTATCCTGTTGCAGCCCTTTCTCTTGCTTTTAATTTATTTTCAGATGCTTCTTTAAAAAATACATCAACATCTGGACCTTAATTACGCAATCTTTTGGCAGAAGAGATTACGATTTTCCTTCTGGATTTCTGTGACCTATAGGTGGCTATCATACCCACACCAGCTAATTAAGTGAAGATGCTGATTTCTAATATTGTTCTTCTTGGAATTAAAAAAACTTGGGTATCTACAACGTATATATTTACTTCTTTCTACTGCTCATTTCTGAGGTCTATTTAAGAGCACTACTGACAGTTTATGTCTGGTTTAATAGGTGAAAAAGCCACCATCAACACATTAAATAAGTTTTTCAGTTTTGCTTTTAACCAATGGATACTCCATTCCCTTAGCAATTACAGAGAATAATCTACATTCTAGCTGATCTCCAAAGTGAGATCATTGTTTTGTCAATCGGGACTTGTAGGTGCAGTATGCGTCACTGTAACTGTGACTTATGTCAGGGCAAAAGTATGAACTCACCACCTTCCACTGTCCATCAGCATGGAACACAAGAATTGCTGTCTGTAGACATGGAAATGGTGGTAGATGCTTTTCATCAACTATTCCACACCTGTAGCTACACATTCATAACAAAGGTTCCAAAACTCCAAGGAACAATCTCAGATTTGCCACTGATTCACTGTGCATCTTTAATCAAATACTTCCTAAAATAGTAGAAAAACCTCACATTTTTCTAACTAGAATGTAAGATAAGTATTGACAATTATAAAGATTTCAAAAGTACAAAAGCTTGTAATACAGATGATTCACAGGCAGCTGTATTCTCCCACTCCTCTAATGCTAGAGTCTGTACATTGTATTATTCCCTTCTTTTGTGTCTCAGAGTTCTTTCCAGTATCATGCAACACCACACAATCGACACAAGATAGCTACTTCTCCTACAACACAAATGTTTCAGATTTCTCGCCCAACACCCAAGAACATTTGAATTATTTTAAGTAACTAAGGTCTATTTTCCTCCTCTACATCTCCCTTGTAGAGTTTGCTCCAGCAGCATGATTTGGTTACACTTTTCGAGCAACGCTGGACTCGCTCTTACCCATGTTATGAACTCCTTAAATATTCAGACCTGTTTTATTCCATCTGAGTCTCATGTATTTACTCAGTACAAACATTTCACCACTTCCCGTGATCTATTTTACAGTAATCAGAGAACTCCTAAGCTACCTTGCTTCAAATGCACCATTTCTATGCTCCTGCATGCTGGTCATTTTGGTTACCATTTTGATATACCTAGGCAGTTATGGTGGATAATGTTGTCTCAAGGGGACAAGCAGTGAGATTTTATTTCCTCAATGTTATGTAGCAGGCAATTCCAGAAGCAATGTTCTACAGGTTGTACCCCAGAGACAAATGCTGAGAAACACAACTGACCTTGGCATGTTAGTATTTTTAATATTAAGAATGAGATACCCGTTAGCACTTAAGTCCCCTGTGCTGAAAATGTTCCTGATTTTGTGCTATCCTATTGGATATACTCTGATACAATTTAGCTACCTACCACATAAAACGGCATCTCTTTTTAGGCTCATAACCAGGGCAAGCTCTCTGTCGTGGGTATTTTCCTGTTGGACTATTCCCACACTTCCCACAAACAGAAACTTGAACTTAGAACCATTTTTAAATATGTTTTTCCAAGGACTTATCACCTAAATACAGAGATGCCTCAAGAGGATATTTTCATCCAGCCACCTTGCTGTGTGATAATGGTTTAAGCATGTTTATTTACAAAGTATTTAAGTTATGGGAAACTTTTAAAGCAAAGGAGAAAATAAACGTAACCTGTCACAAGACTGCTTACTTTAGTTACTTAAGAAATATTTTTGGCTAATAGGGCAAGATTCCAAAACACCATCAAACAAGTTCCTTCTTTTCTTCTGAGAATATATGAAAGAGCACAGCCTTTGGAACAAACTAAATTTCAACTCAAGCCCCTAGTTTTCCCCATATACTACTACAAGTATCTTAAACTGTAGGTTTGGTATACGTGTCTCACTAATTTTTTTGTTGCTAAACTTGAGACACTTAAAGCAGTAATCAAGTTCCAGACCAGAGTATGACAGAGAGACATTATGCTCAAAAGTGACAGTTAAACAGGTTTGTTGACACCACATAACAGAGCTCTAATGTAACTTCACTGCAGCCTGCAAATTTTTATTTTTACTTTTTTAGAAAAGATTACTTGTAATCTGAAATTCTTTTGGGACTTGTTGCCTGAAAGTACCTTCTACTCAATGCCCTTAATTGTCTCACAACTAAGGAACAGGAAAACAGACTGACCCTTATTTTTATTGCAATTGTAAAAAAAAAAGTTGCTCTTTCAGCAGAAGTAAAGAAAGGAATATGGTGCAGAACACAGATCATGCGTCTCAAAGAGCTCTTAAAGAGACAAATGTCCCTTGATTCTCTGCAAGTCCTCTTCTCCTAGTAGATCACAGTAAAAGCATAAGAAAGGCATAAAAAATGAGGATAAGAAGGCATGTAAATTGCAATAAAGATCAAATACAAACAGAGACTTTTCTGTCAGGCATTTTAATGAAGGTGCTGAATAACCAAGAAATAGTGAAGAGAACTATTAATTAAAATAAACAGGAGTTTTGGGTAAGTTGGGGAGTAGGGAGGAAATAAAAGAAGTCACCAGTGCCATAAAAGAACCCATTAAATCTAATTACAATCAGTAACAAGCGTTCAATATGATAACGTATCTACTTCACACATCCATTTATGTTTTTTAACCTAGTGCAGCTCAAGTCTCACTTTTGGACATAGGCTCCCTGTTTCCTGGGTCTACTGATAAATTAGATAGGTGGAAGAATATTCTGTATGGCTGTTTTGCAATTAAGCAAAAGGACAGTTCAACTTGCCTTTTTTTAAAATCTCATTTAAAAAAAATGGAAAAGATAATATAAAAATTTTCATTTCCATCAAATTCATTATCTCTGAATTCAGGACATACTTTATCATCATGACAGATTAATAATGGTGGTCTAGTCATCAGGATCTATTATTCCTCTAGTCAGTGTGCTGAGGTAATTTTTGTTATAATTTTCCAGTCACATGTCATGAGTTTGACTGGAGAGATTCATAACCCTGAAGAGCAACACAGTAAAGTTATCAGAAGGCAAAGACTGTTGCAATACCTTTAAAATGTATTTGACAAGGATGTGAAAAGTGCATTTCTGAAACTGTCAACTATGTATAACTATATATGAAGATGCCAATCAGAACAACAAATACAAACTTAATCATCAGGGGATCTGCACGATAAAAACACTGTGAGGGGCAGGGAGGGAAGCCCTTCTAGAAGATAAGACATGCCAGAGTGACCAAACTGAAAATACCATGTGCATTCCTACTTTTTCTCCCCAAATACATGTAGGAAAGCACATCAGTAATCCTTGAACTCCGAGTACAATTTAGGTACTGGGCAAAACTAGGCCTGATTCTCCCTCTTTTTCCTTCCTTACCCCTGCCACCTCCTCCCCAAATCCATCCTGTAGGCCCATCTGTTCTCTGGCTTAATTTTCAATCTTATATTGCTTCTAGGTATGAACAGAGAAGGCACAGTGCCACATCTGTTTGACTACTACAGCCACATTATTTGAGCAACTCTATTTCTACAGATTATCTTTTATTAAAGACTGGCTAGCAGCTTGTGATTCTGGCTCCAAACATACAGTTTTAGCATCAGCAAAAGTTCAAATAAAAGATGGCATGGCTGCATTCATAACTGACGAATGGCCAAACCTCACCAACGCTCTTCAGATTTATACGTGTAAGAACATGTAGGGCCACTTCTAAACAGTCAATAATTTGATGCTACAGTTTAATGAGCTAATGCTTTCCCATCTACCGTTTTTCTTTTACTACAGTCACTCTCTTAGCTGTTTTAACACAAGTTTCCAACCTTCAGTGAAGAAAAAGTCTCACAAGGATGTGCTAGGCTGTGCTACTTTATCACTTTAGAAGGATGATCTTTTAAAACATTTTTTTTTAATGTAAGGGACACACTAAGCCACTGAAGTATTTTCACTCCACATATTGCCTTTACTCAACTCAAAGAATAGGCATATTCTTCCTCTGTTGACAAAAACTTCAAGGAAATAGATCTTTTATCTCAATCAAGAGAACAACAGGACATGCCCCTATACTTATACAAAAGCACGTCGGAAAACAACAAGGACTCAGTACATGAACAACACTTGTGGAACACTCAAAAGTCAAGCCAACAATTTCCAAGGTTATCTTTGTTGAGAAGACATCCTTATTTATCTGAAACCAGCATGCATTTGAGTTGTCAGTATAATCAACCACATTTATTGGCAAGCACATTCAGTGGCAGCTTTTGAAGGCAAGCCCAGTAGGATATAAGACACAAATCCAGTGTTCAAGTGCTTACATCCCACTCTTTAGTGAGACTGATGTTTAAACAAGAAAAAAAAAATTCCATTAACATCAATCTTCAGTATTTTCTGCTTACTTCTTTGCAAGTTTGATATTTGAGAATATTTGCAGATTTGGAATTCTCTTGCTTTTATTTTTCCTCTCCCAAAGAATATAGCTATTTCAAGATCAATGCACCCAAAACATTGAAAAGTAGATGCCAATTGTTAATGGATACACAAATTGAAGATGAAGCCAAGTATAGTTCTTATGCTTGTGTGTTTAACTTTCTTTCAAACCACAGAAGTTTAATCGTATGAAAAAATTGGTAACTGCCCTTTTGAGAAATTGTATTGTGTTCTGAAGGAGTAACTGCATGACTGCATGAATGTTTTAGAACTTTTCAGTAATTACTTACATTCTCTATAATGCCTCACATTATAGGCATTAATGGTGCCCTTAGAACTTGCCTTTAATCACAGGCTTATCAAGCCATGCTAAATTAACATGGGTCAACAGATGTGTTAGGCTATACTCAAACAGATTTTCAGGTCACTTCTCTGAAGCCTCGTTTAGCACTCCTGGTTCCTTTCACATGCCCCAGACTGAACTTTCCTCGCAGCAGTCTTGGTGATGCCAAGCAGCTCTGAAACATTCCTAAAAAAATGTTATCTTGAAGAAATTGCCCAACTTGTGCTGGGGGAGATACACAGTAAGTTGGGCAATGAAGAGGAATTACTCAAACAAAATTAATACATGTTGCATTTTCCCCATCCAAAAGTAATGTTTTCCAATAAATTACTTGCAAGCCTGCCTGATCACAAGTCTCAGTACATTACCATAGCTTCTGACTGCCAGACTTTCTGGATTATCTTGATGCGAATCAACAAACACTAAATTCAGATATTAAGGGGGGAAAAAAAAGTGGTAAGGAAAACCCACACTAGGGTAGAATATTAACAGTTCTTCTTACTATTGACCTCTGTAGCATTACAAATTCTGCTTTTCAGCTAATCCTCCTGCAGCCAACCAAATTAAAGTCTGTGAAAGATATGTTCACACTGTTGAACTCCATGACTTATACTACGCAAAAATCTATTTAGGGACTTTAAATATGCATAAGGGAGCAGAGATACCACAGCAGTATCATTTGAAGCTGCTGAAATGTAACAAAATCATTTGCATATTGACAGGTTACTGGATTGATACTTTGCAGTTATTACAAATGGATCTTTTCAGATACTGTAGAGAAATGCTGCATTTGCTTACAAAAAAAAAATCTTTAGAGTTGAAGTTTTAGAGGAAATGAACTTGTAAAATACTATTATTTCAGAAGACTGCCCTGAAACCTCTGAAAATAGTCTAAAGATACCACTGTACTGTTTAACATTTATGCTTGAACAGCCCTTTGAAAGATGCATTTAACTTAACCAGAACACCCCAAGTAAAAACCCCAAAATCTTCTAGTCCTCACCATTTTAGTTTTTACTTGATCACGGTCCAAGGAAAACACTCATATTGATTTTGAGGAAAATACTTCCTTTCTTATAATTAAAAATAGGAACTTAGGTATTTTCTAAAACATACACAATGGAACCTTTCTCTTCATTGTAACTTGAGTAAAGCTTGCACAACAGGTAGGGTAAAAAAAAAGAACTAAATGCACTTTCTATTAAATAACAAACAGTACTGAATTGTATCCTACTATGGTGCACAAAGTATATTTGCATAAATTTTATGAAGACGGCAAATGGCAATGTAAGAATAGGCTTTAATAATCAAAAACAGGTTTACAAAATCTTCAAGCTGCAACACTGATGATATATATCTACCTCTGTGAAAACTTAAACATTTTAAAAAAAAAAAAAAGGTATTTTCATACTAAATTATTAGAGTTCTGTTTTGCTGTAGAGTTAAATGCTTCAGTTACTATTAGTTTAACTCCCCAGGCAAAGGAAGACAAGGAAAATGGAGAAAGGTTTTTCAGTGTGGCCAAACTAAAAGCCTAAAGTAGCTTATTCATGCCAGAACTGATTAATTAAATATCCCTCATAACTTCAAAAGCTGAATTCTGTTTCCTACAGAGAATCCAAAAATGGAGCAGCAGATTCTCTTCTACTTCCAAAAAGATTTAAAATTTGATTAGTTTTCATCAAGTAAGGAATAATGGTTAAATAAGAATTTGAGTTACTCCTCTCTTCCTACACAAAATAAAAGTCCTCTTCACGCACCATATGCCTCATTGGTCCCTATACCACAAATCTGCCACAAAACCAGGCTTGGGCTACAAATCACTGTATGTGGGAAGACCACTATAGTGTATAGTATATATAACAGTATAATAACTATACTGTTCCCTCAGATGCTAAAGGAAGACTGTTAACCATTCCCATTTGAAGATAAATTAAAAAATTTAGGTTATGATTAATTCCTACAGAAATTGGATTAAATGGCAGAAGGTACTGATACCACTTATCCTGTACATTTGTGCAGAATACCTACTGCTTCCAGTTCATTGCTTTTACTTTATTACTTTTGTGCAGAAGAAAGTAGCTCTGATCTCCAAAACCATTTTTCTTGTATACATATAAGGGCTAACATTAATTGTTGTTACATTTTGATTACAGTGAAACAAGAAAAAAGATATTGGAGTTAGTTCCCTGTCTTTCAAGAGGGAGAAAAAAACACCCTGAAAAAAACTGAACACAATAACCATGAAAGACCGCCTCCAAGAGCTTAAACTGAGAGCTAAGGAACTACAAATAGCTGGTGAAAACAATGGTGCAACTGTACAAGAAGAAGAGCAGGAGGAGTTTGAACAGCAGGCCATTATTTATGAAAAAGAACCCATAACTGAAAGGCACTTGCATGAAATTCAGAAGCTTCAGAGTGAAATTAATAATTTGGTGGAGGAAGTTCATAAATTCAGCCAACAACAAAAAAGCCTAGTATCTTCAATGAGAAGATTCAGTGTTCTTAAAAAGGAATCTAACATAGCAAGAGAAATAAAAATTCAAGCAGAGCACATACGAAAATGTTTGGATGAACTGTCAAAAGCAGCGAAAAAAGCTGAAAATGAACTTGGGCCATCACGTGCCACAGTAAGAATTCTAGCTTCCCAGCATGCTTTCCTTTCCCACTGTTACCTAAATGCTATGGTCTCATATAATGATGCTATAACTGCTAAGCAGGAGAAATGCAGAAGATTTATTGTCCGTCAGCTTGAAGTAGCTGGTAAAGAGGTATCTGAGGAAGAAGTCAATGATATGCTTGAACAAGGAAAATGGGAGATTTTCAATGAAAATCTACTCACTGAAGTCAAAATTACCAAAGCTCAGCTTTCAGAGATTGAACAGAGACACAAAGAACTAGTCAGTCTGGAGAACCAGATCAAAGACTTAAAGGAACTTTTTATCCAGATATCGGTTCTGGTAGAGGAGCAAGGGGAGATGATCAACAACATTGAAATTAGTATGAACAATACTCAAGAATACACTCAAGTATCTAAAGAAAAATTTGGGCTTGCAGTCAAGTATCGAAAAAGAAACCCCTGCAAAGCACTATGCTGCTGGTGTTGTCCATGCTGCAAATGACAACAGAAATCAACTGCTTGAAATATCAATGGTTCCTATTTAGTAAACTGATCTTGTAAAGTAGTCTCAGGATCCCTTGACTGCTTTATTTTTCTTCCCATTTTCCCTTCCACAGAGCTCTCAGGAAAAAATGCATCTGTTTTTACAAACAGAGGTAAAAGAATGGTTTTCATAGAAACACATGAACAAGGTGACAAGTGACAGTTTTTGTTCTTCCACTCAATCTACAATAACATAGCAACAAACCACTTGTGCTCTTAGGAAGCATTGAAAATATTGTTTATCTCAAAGACAGGATTCATAAGAACTGTTAGGCTACCCTTTACAAAATAATTAATATTTTTAATTGCCTTGTGGTTTTTTTAGCACTTATATTTACTTGATTCAAATTCTAAGCTGCTTTTTTTTTTTTTTTTTTCTCCAGGAATCTGAAATTCTACCAAAAAAAAATCTACACATAAAGCAGACATTATTAACACTCCAGAATGTGATGCCTAAGCCAAACAAGAAGTCAGAAAACAGTTATCAGGAGCATTTCAATACTACCTCTATACGAAAAGTTACTTACAGGCTTACTTACCTACTTAATACCATGAAATAATGCTCATGTTACATTAGGACAGCATGCACTGTCCATGGAATGCAATATAGACATTGACTTATTTATCTGAACAAGACAGTGGTGCATTTCTTACTGATAGGTGTTGAGCTGGTATTTTCTGAACACATTGAAGACCAATACTAGTAGACGACCACATCCCCAAATCTACAGGTACATGCCTGCTGAGAAGCCAAGCATTAATAAACTGACAGAAGGATGTTTACATTAATCCGTTTCATAGGCAGACTCCTACCAGGTACAGATAGGGGGAATATGACACTTTGTTACATAGCGATAATACACGTTCTTACTGCTCCATAGCCTACCTAAATATGCAGTTGCTTCTGCAGTCTCATTTTCACTAGTAGAAACATAGAAGGAAAAAATATAATTTAAAAAAATAACTCCATACATATAAAAAGAAACATAATCTAGAAGCAGAGAATGATTTAGATTGGAAGGACCATCTGGGGGACATCCAGACCAACTGCTCGCTCAAACTCCTGCTAAAATCAAGACAGGAATTTCTCTGGCTGTAGCTCTTGTCCACCACTTCTCAACCTACTACCTCGCTTCTCAGAAAAGCTTTTTTCTGTTACCTTCACACCTTACTAGGACACAGCAGGAAGATCTGTCCCTTAGTTTGTTCACCCCAAGTCTGAACAAACAGAGTTCTCTGACTCTCCTCATGCATCACACGCTAAAATACCCAAGCAGTGTGGACTCACTATAGTATACTCAACATTTGTCTTCATGGTCTTCTTGTAGTTGGAAGTCCAGAACTGGACACAGTACAGGACATGCATTCATCCGTACTATTACAGGAGTGGCCAGAACTAGTTGAGGGTTTTCAGAACTCTAAATGGTTTCATGAAATTCTGCTAATTGTAGCAGCCTTGGATCCTCATGTAGGTATGTAGAAGAGATGTCTAAAGTAGTAAATATGAAGAAATCCCCTGAGCACCTAAAACAGAGCTGCTAGCCATTGACTCAATCTTGCCCTGAAGATACTTGAGCTGCTCTTTGTGAAATAGCTGAATGAGCCAGACAGGAAGTATACCAACGCTTTATTTTCCAGCAGCAGCTATTTCTGCAGTGAAGAGAAGCAAGCAGATGCAGAGTGCTTTTCTTTTCCACAGTCACAATGGGTGGTTTCTGCCCCATACCCAACCTCTTTTGGAAATGAGTAAGAAATAGTGCTCTAATGCAATTTAACAGAAAATAACAATGCAAGTAAGACAAAAATGTTATTTCCAAAAAGAAAAAAAATGAGGCAACCAAAATCCACTAAAACCAAACATCAGATCAGGAATGTATTTCTGAACTGCTTTATGCTGTGCAAAGACACATTCAATGCATTTAGATAAAGTCAGAGAACTCAGAGCAAATTGCACTACAATTCTGCAAGATACTAGGTGAGCTAGATGGCATTAGTTGCATCTAGTGGAAAAAAATAAAAGTCAATCTACTATCAACAGGCACTACTGGAGTATTTTCACGCTGAGGTATCTATAGTTGTATTCCTTCCGTTCCAGCTTAAAATTGCAACTGAAATTAACTGTTACCAAAGGATAATCAGAGGTCTGAACCTTAAAATGAAAAAGATTATTTACACAGTAGCAACAAAACATAAAATCAGATAATACACCACTGATACTGTTCCATTAAATAATTTCCTTAACTGTTACACATATGAGAGCTACCTTTACATTCCAAGGGCAGAGTAGAAACTAGCCAATAAGCAATAGAAACAAAAAAGTTGTTATGACCAACATGCTCTTTCATATCTATATCTCTCTATGTATGTATATAGAATCATAGAATC